GGCACACACAAAGAGATACACTGACACACATGTACAATAACACACAAAATGACACACATGACACACATACTGACACAATTACACACACAGTTACACACACAAGACACATGCACACACAGAAACACACACTGAGACACATATACAATGACACACACAATGACACACAATGACACACAGACAAAATGACACAATGACACGACACCACACAATGACACACAATGACACACCACACAATGACACACAATGACACACACAAGACACAGTGCCACACACAAGACAATGACACACAATGACACACAAGACACACAGACACACACACATGTACAATGACACCCACACAATGACACCCACACAAGACACACAGAAACACATACTGACACAATGACACAACACAATGACACAAGACACACACAGAGACACACACTGACACACGTACAATGACATACACACAATGACACACACACAAGACACACAGAGACACACTGACACACACACATGTACAATGACACGCACACGACATGCAGTGACACACAATGACACACACAATGACACATACACAATGACACACATGAGACACACAATGACAAGACACAGTGACACACAGGCAATGACACACACAGACACTAACATGCACAGATACATGTACACACTAGCACATGCAGACACACATACACACAGTGACACACACACCAACACACTGACATAGACCCAGATACACATGCACACACTACCATACGCAGACTAACACATTCTGACAGATCCTCACATATGTGGCACATACATGAACACACACACACTAACCACACACAGACACGCACACTGACACACACACTGGCAGAGCCTCACGTGCACCGGGCTGCGTGACAAGCCACCCTGTGGTCCTTTGCTCCTTAACCCCAGGCAGACCACCCGCCGCCCCAGTGCCTCCTGCCCTGTCACTCGAGGAAAGTTTCTGCTCTGGAAAGGCCTCCAGCCACTTGCCTCTCGCCTCTGCCCCCGGTGGGGACCTTGCAGCCTGATGCTCTGGGAAGACATGGGTAGAAGAAGCCCCATGGCAGCCTGGCTCTGTGTGGGCCTTAGGGAAGGACTTGGCCCCTGGGGCTGTCGGTTTTCTCGTGTGTGAGATGGGAACTGTGGTGTATGGGGTGGTCCCTAACCAGCCACCATGAGAGCTCCTGGACTGAGGCTGCATGCCGGGTGTCCCTTGTGTTTGCAGAGTACAGCATCTCGGCAGCCGCCATCGCCATCTTCAGCCTTGGCTTCGTCATCCTGGGCAGCCTCTGTGTCCTCCTGTCCTTCGGGAAGAAGAGGGACTACCTGCTGCGGCCCGCGTCCATGTTCTACGCTTTTGCAGGTAGACTGGGGGCTCCGCCCAAGCACCAAACTGGGGGGACCATGTCGTGGGGGATTCTCCGCTCCACTCTCATGCCCACCGTGGGATTTGGGTGGGGGGCATTTCCCAGGCTCCATCCCCATCCAGGGGCAAACCTGGCCAGGCCCTCAGCGACCCCAGGTGGGCTGGAGGGAGACAGAGCTTGGTGGTCTGTCCATTCCTCCCCATGACTCAACCCTCAAGGCCCCAAAGAAATGGCCCAGAGAATGATTAACAGAAGAAGGAAAGAAACGTGGTCGCCTTTCTTTCTTTTTCTTGGGGGATGAGGAAGAGGGTCTCGCTCTGTCGCCCAGGCTGGAGTGCAGTGGAACGATCACAGCTCACTGCAGCCTCGAACTCCTGAGTTGAAGGGTTCCTCCTGCCTCAGCCTCCTGAGTACCTGGGAATACAGACGTGCACCACCACACCTGGCTAAGTTTTTATTACATTTTAATTTTTTGTAGAGACAGAGGGCTCATCACTATGTTGCCCAGGCTGGTCTCTAACTCCTGGCCTCAAGCGATCCTCCTGCCTCAGCCTCCCAAAGTGCTGGGATTACAAGCATGAGCCACCATACCCGGCCATGTGGTCGCCCTTCTAAGGGATGCAGGAATAGGGTGGTGCGTGGACAAATGGATCCCTCTGCAGGCTCCCAGCTAGAACCTGCCTTGAGGCAGCTTTTCCCCCAAGGCAAGGTCACTGCCTCCTCCATGCACACAGGCTAGGCTGGGGCTGGGGGTAACGGCAGGCACCCGTCGGTCCCTGAGCGTACCTGGCTCTGCCCCCAGGTCTCTGCATCCTGGTCTCGGTAGAGGTCATGCGGCAGTCGGTGAAGCGCATGATTGACAGTGAGGACACCGTCTGGATCGAGTACTATTACTCCTGGTCCTTCGCCTGTGCCTGTGCTGCCTTCGTCCTCCTCTTCCTTGGTGGTCTTGCCCTCCTGCTGTTCTCCCTGCCTCGAATGCCCCGGAACCCATGGGAGTCCTGCATGGATGCTGAGCCTGAGCACTAGCCCTCCTGTGGCCCTAGCAACCCTCAGGCTTCTTCTCCAGGAAACCAGGTCTCAGCCCGGAACCTTCCAGAGGGGAGGCGGGAGCAATTTTAGCTCCACCCTGCTCCCATCTGCCCCCTGCCACAGTCGCAGGCTGCCTCCTCTCTCTGAGCTCCTCTGGGCTGCCACAGGCTCCCCTGGGAATAGAGCAAGAGGATGTCAGTCTCAATCTGGCCACAGTTGGGAAAGGCAGGGCCAGCAGGTGGACAGGTGTTTGCAAGGGCCCCACTTCCCCTGGAGCTCAGAGGTGTCCCCACTGTACCAGCCTCTGATAAGCTGTCTCCAGTCGTCCTTTATGAACATTGCAGGGACAACCTGTGTTTGCCAGTTCTTGGTGTTCCGTGTAAATAGCCAGCCCCTCCCTTTCTCAGTGATAAAACACACCCTCTCTGGTGAGCGCAGCGTCCCCTCCTTGGCTTCCAGGAGCCCTGGGAAGCATTTTTAACTGAGTAGAATCTGTCTGTGGCTTGAAATAAAAAGCTCTCAGAAAACTCACGTTTTCCTCGCGCCTTGCATAGAAATTGCTCAGATTCCTGGTCACATCAGGGGCCCCCTGACGCCGAATGAGAAGGGAAGGCAGGTCACCCGGGTACGCTGAGGACTTTTGTGGGGACAAGAGGGCAACACACGTGGCTTAGAGGCTCTGAATTCCAACTCAGACAGGGTTTCTCTAGGCCCTGAGATTGTTTTCGGGAGAAACTAGAAACCTTCTGATGAAGCAAGGGTGTTAAAAATAGGAGGGGTTATTTCTAGAGCCTGGCATGCAACGCACCTGGTGCCAACGCAGCGCTAAAGCAGCCAGCCAGTGTCTGATTTCTGATGCTGGATTTCTGTTGTGAAGAACATCAGGAAGCAGGGCTTAGCAGCTAGACGCTTAGGGCCACATGAAGAGCCATGATTTGCACACTTCTGCCTTCCAGAGCCCCACAGTACTTGCCCAAGCTTCCGAAGTGGAGTTCAGACATGATTGGCAGATGGGATCTTTGCCTTGCACCCTGGAGAACCCACTG